AATCTCAAGCGTACTTCATGCTTCTGAGTCTTTTTTTTCCTACACGCTCAACCCACTGGTGCTGATACATGGTGGCCTCAATGACTGTTGTCTTTCCTCGATTTTTTCTGACCTATTCGTGGTCATCTTTTAGCGTCAGTATGCTCTCTGAGGCACACTTTACCGAAGAGAATAGACCTTTTTCAAGCTATCCAAGAGTGTCCCTGCGGGCGCATGAAGCACTATGGAAAAAGTGTGTTCGCCGAGAGAGCCGTCTCTTCCCGCTGTTCTGTGGCGCCGTGGCAGCGGAGGGATCAGCGAAGTAGGGTCTTTTAGCAAGTCACATAAATACGAGGTGCTTTGCATGGCGACTCGTGCAAGCTATGTAGAATGAGAGGCTAGAACACTACCGTAGAGCACAATTTATAGGAAATAACATGTGTTCTAGGGTGGCGTGTTTCACGCTACATATAGCTTACCTGAGTACCCGTGGGAGATGCGATGTAGGTGCACTGGGTTGGGAAATGTTCTGATTTGATGTCGCCTCCAGTCAACCTCCTGAAATCTGTCAAATTTGGAGCTAAGTGGTGGAAATGTGAGCCTCAACTTTTGGTAAAACGTGATAACGTCGCGAAAACCAAATATTCTGTCCCACTCGCTCCACACCCCTCCTCCCTTACCTCGTGGGAAGCTCCATCACGAGCGCAGTAAGTGAGGCCTAGGGCGACTCGGTGGACTTTCTCGTTGAAGTTGGCAACCGAGAATAGACAGGAGGCGGGGGCTCAGAACCCTCGCAATTCCTCAGACGATGTGAGCTTGGCCTTCGCGAGGAGTGCGTTAGTGGCCTCGGGCGTGGGCATCGGAAGGAGGCCGCAAAAGGAGCACTTGCCCCCCTCAGGCCTCGCCAGCACTTGCCCTTCCCCAAGCTACACCAGTGCTTTCCTCCTCCCCAGCCGCGATACAACACTGATTTACACCCCCCCCCCCCCCAAAAAAAAATAGAAGCATATCCACGGAGTGAATGATGGAGAGTGGGGCGAAGCATTCGTCCGTCCATTCGTTCTTGCTTCCGTCCGTCCATGCGTCCATCTGTGTGACCGTTCATGCATCCATCCACCCGTCCGTGCGGGCGTCTGTTCGTGCGTCCGTCTCTGCGTTCGTCCATGCATCTGTTTGTGTGTCCGTTCGTCCATCTATTCAACACTCCAAATACCACCATCTCGCATCTTTTCATCATATATTGGATGGATGGATGGATGCTATGAGCGTCCCCTTTATAACGGGGTGGTGACAAGTATGCCACCAGGCTCGACAAAAAAAAAAAAACATTTTTTTCTTTTTATGTTGGCCTAATGCCTCTACTTCGATAAATTCTATCTTAATGTAAAAAAAGGTAAATTTTCAGCTTAAGTTCTCTGCCATTTACGGCACACTGTCCATATTTTATTTTTCCAATATTTATTTTTGTCCTTTCTCTCTAATTTTCTGCCACCAATACTCTAACCGTCTCTTACTTATTTCAATCGCGGGTGTGTTCAGCTTTCCATTGTTGTCCCTAAAACCCAAGGCTTCCTGTAGGCTCGTGCCCAAACGTACACCTGGGTGGATATCTCCACATTCAATCAGAACATGCTCCGCCGTTTCCTTATCTTTCCCGCAGCATGTGCATTGTTCTTCTTCTTTACTGAATCTTGCTTTATAACTACGCGTTCTAAGGCAACCCGATCTCGCTTCAAACAGTAAAGCGCTTCCCCTTGAATTATCGTAAAATGCCTCCCTCCTTATTTCATTTTTGCCCTTTCGGTAGTTACTTCTATATTCCCCATATAGAAGCACCGCCATCTAGCGGACATTCCAAGGACTAAACGAGAGGTGGCACACGCACACTTTCTTACGGCTTGCGCTTCGGGTCTACTTCCCACCTTTAACCACCTCGAGTTCATGGTATATACTAATTCACTGTATTCATGGCACTGCGGCTCAACACTCGCTAAACCTTTATAAAACTAAAGAGGTTACACCCAGCGGGTATAACGCAGTAACCCTTTCTTGTCATATATTCCTCAATGTACATGCCAATGGCTGCTAATGGGTATCGCAGGTGCGCGTTAACTAAAAGCCGAATGCTCCTGTCTCTCATTCCCCCTTAACAGTCATTGGCATGTACATTGAGCACTATCTTTTATTGTTCAACAACACACAGAAGAAATCTCTCACCGGCAACATCTTGGAGGTCGAAATGTTATACTTGTTACTCATTACAACGGCTACGAAGGACGAACAGGTGCCGTTATAAAAAGGTTCGCCTCGAAAAAACTCCTGCTAACGACCACGGCCTCGGGTGATTTATCCTTCCTCCCGCGTAGTTCGTAATGACGGGATATATATCCCTGATGATGTACATGCAGTTGGAGAAATTATGGCCTAACCAATTAACCGTACAAAATTTCTTTAGAGTGTGAAAAAGTGTATGTTGGCCAAACTGGGTGATGCGTCAACGATAGGCTAAGGAAGCATGCGAACAATGTGAAAAATGTACGTGACGGAAAGCATTTTGATGGTTTTCTGACAAGCCATTGTATAACCTGTCAGTGTTGATCCCGGACGCGGCGGTCGCATTTGATGGAGGCGAAAAAGCAGATACCCATCTACTGTGCTATGTCAGTGGGCTTTAAAGAACGCCACTTAATCGAAACTTCCGGAGTCCTTCACTAGGGCGTCTCTCATAATCATATTGTTCTTTTGGGGGTGTAAAAAAACAGATATTACTATTGACCTTGTAAGGATTGCTCACCCTACCTAAACAACACATCAGTCATCAAGAAGAGGAAAATACAAATCACCCGAGAACTCGTAGAAGCAGGAAGCGTTTTGTACCTGGGAGAAACGACCCGCCATGGAGGTGTAGTGGCTAAGACACTCGGCTGCTGAATCGCAGATCTCGGAATCAAATCCCGGCCGCAGCGGTAGCACTTTCGATGGAGGCGAAAACACTTCAGGCCCATGTGTTTAGATTTAGGAGCGTGTTGAAAGACCTCAGGTGGCCAAAATTTCCGCAGCGCTCCACTCCTGCATCTCTCATAATCATATGGTGCACGGTTTTGGGACGTTAAACCCCAACAATTATTATTATACCTTGGAGAAAAGTGTTCAAATGGGATATCCATATAACTTACAGGTAAAGAGATGGCATATCTGCGCACGTGTAGTGGATGATGTCTGTGTCGGACAGCGTGAATTTACGTGCAGTTTTTCCGAGAAAGGCTATTACAAGTTCTGCGCTTTTTGTTGTCGTTTGTGTTTTGTTCAGTGCGTGTGTGAACAAACGATGATTACTTATAATTACTTATGAAGCAGGACACAACGACAAGCACAAAAGGAACGATTGGGACAAAGCTGCACTCTCAACTAGTTTATTTCGCAGAAGAACACGGTAAATATCCAACAAGACGTTGTACCACGTGTTGAAGTTCAGGCTACAGCAAATTTTCCGAAAAAGCCACTTCGCAATCGCTTAAACTTATCAATGCTTGGCTAGTGTAGTTATATTTTCTTTTAGTGATGTGGAAAACGTTGATAACTTCCGTGGTCACCTGATCCCTGTGGCTGGAAAGTATTTCAGTCTCAGAGAACAGCGGAGAGCAGCCACACTATAAGCAATGACGCCTTAGTGTGAACTATGAACAACTTGCCCAACTTCCTAAAAAAAAAAAAAGAGCCAAGCAATCTGTAGTGGGAGGCCCATGCTGACACGCTCAACCCCAAATACCAGCGAAGTCTGGGTCAGCCTGTCAGCTTAAGCCCACGGCATCCTGGACAAGGGACGCCGCCCCCTCTGGCGTTTGTTAACTTTGCTGAATAAAGCTTATTCCACCATCTCCTCCTTCACTCACATACGCTCACTCTCATGTAATGACCCAATAACAGACACATTGAAATTAACATTATTGATAAATGAATAAATACAAATAATACCTCGTACAGCCATCAATCAAGACGGCGTGGGTTGGAGGCAACCGGCAGAAGCCTCCGTCCTACAGTGGACATGAGACAGGTTGGCGACGTTGATGACAATGAATGTGCTGTATTCTCCATTAGCCACGACATATTTACTTATTCGAGAAGTTCATCGAGGCATGCTTCTTAGTAAAGCGAAGCGCTATTTGGAGAGCGGAACTAAGGTTGACTCTGTTGACTCCACGAACATAGTTCTGCAGATAAAAAAAATATTATAGCAAAGCGAGCGCCATACCGCAGGTTGATAGCTCTTGAGGGCCCCCGGGACAAGAAACCTGGTTCTCAGTGTGTGTATATTTGTTGGGAATGCATATTAACTAGACTATGATGGCCGCATCGTGCTCGCCGTGTACCAGCAAAATGGACGGCGGTATGTGGACCGCCGGTGCACGCAGTCTGGGTCACGCCTCCATTTTCATTTTCTTTTTTTGGTTGTTGACGTATAGTGGTGTGTGTGATAAACATACATGCAAGCATGCGCAGGAGCCCGACGAAGGCCTGTCAGAGAGCAGCCTGCATCACGTATATAGCACATGTAAGTGTCACAAATATTGTAATGAAGTGTAGTTAGAGCTCCTCTTTACTTATTTCATGATGTGCCTATTCAAGGAAATTTCGACAAAAATATACTGATAAATAAAAGTTAGCGTCACGAACACCGAAAACGAGGCTCTGCTGTAGGAAAGTGCATGTCTGTGTGCACGCGTTTGACCTTTAGCCTACATTACAAACGACGACGTGGTATGTCACTTTGCATCCTCAGTTCTTTCTTGTTTTGTTACGTCCTCTGGCTCGTTTGTTTTGGACCAATGGCAATTCAAAACAATAGGTGCTTTCACTCGGGCACTGTTCCACATGTTGTTGAAAGGGCTGCGTTTCTCCGCGGTAACGCGTGTGCATAGATTGACATTCGAGGCTGACGTGCAACGGTGGACGAAAAAAACAACGTTAAAATTCTTTCTGGCGCTCGTTTAAAAAGCCAGACCAGCGGCCAGTCACACAACGTGACGATGTCTGCAGTTAGGAGTGGGATGTTCGTTTTACTGGCGATGGCTCTGTTTTTCATGTAAGTAGTACTGATGGTGAGTGGTGTGATTTGACACCAAATTGAAATGTTGCTGGCGTGTGTTTTTATACGTGTATACGATGTGGAACAGGTGCTTGAGTGTGCGGCATAAAATATTAGGACGCGCAAGAAGAGACGCTGAACTTAAAAAAAAAGTATTAGCAGTGGCTTAGCTCGGCAATGCTAGGATATAAGTAGCGTGAGCTATGGATAAACAGACGCATGAACAGACGGATGGGTGGACGGACTAGCCAGTGAGTTCACGCTTTTCTACTGCCAGCCTACTAGTGGCACGTCACTCCTGGAACTTACAGGCCTTTTCCGGTGCGCCAGCTCAGCGGCGCGTGACGTCACTGCTTTACGCGCATGCGCTGTGGGGCTTTCGATAAGCCACGCGATATTGATCAACCTCGGCCAGTGTAGCTTAGGCAAAAAAAAAAAAATGGCTGGCGTAGGCAGTTTACGTGAAGCACTTTACGTCTGAAGCACATGACGAAGGCACGAAACACTTTCGACACTCCAACAGGCGTACCTCAGAAGGATGAACGATTCCTGCGTTTTTACTTAAATATGCGCACTTGTTAGCCACCTCTACCCTCGCATTGCATCGGAGCATTTTCGCAGTTGACAGACAGTCGCACGCGTAAACCAAAGGAATATTTCACCCATTTAGGCAGAATAACGCTGAGTACAATACATACGCTAAAACCACGTTGCAGCGTCTAAATTTATTATAACCCGGAGAACTTCGTCTGTGTCATCGAAATGACATGCCCGAAGTGTCTGTGACGGCGAGCGTGGGACACTCTTTCTTTCTGACACATGACGTCATGGCTACAAGCGGCGCTGACTAACACTCCCAGGTTATCATGCGCGTAAATACCCCACGAAGTGGATGAGAGGACGACTGCCGCGGAAGCTGAATTGATATCGGCATCGGGCTCGTTATACGAAGCTTGCACGTTTGGTACCAGCAGGTGGCAAGTTATCTCTTCATCCACTTCCCTTATCGCATATGTACACATCTCAATCCTTTCAATACGCTCATAAAGAGTAGAAATAACATTTTTCATGTAGCTTGCTTCGTGTCATAATCTGCTGGTTTTCACTATGCCTCTGTGAGCTCTTGTGTTTACATCGATGTTAATACTAACGGGCTACATTCAGTACGAAGTTTGAATAAATTTGTTCAGTATGAAAGGCTTTACTCAAAATTCAGTCTGTAGACACGGTACAGCATTATTGACTTCATATATACTTCAGTCAGGTGTTCCCATTTAACCGAATGCATGGATCGACAGCGTATGTGTGACTTAAGCATTGAAGGCTTGCATCACGCTTTATTTTACGGTGCAACAAGATATGCTCACGCAGAATAATTTGCGACCTATCGTGTCACACATAAAGTACCAAATGGTAACTATTTTTGTATCCTGATGATGTTGGTCATGTGAGATGTCAGCACTCCTACACACAAGCAAAGTATTAAGAGCGATGCGTTACAGGTATTATGAGCAAAGAATACAGACACAGAATTCAACTACACCTTTGTTCATAGGAACATGCCATGTTCGGGTAAAGAAACACTAAACTATAGTGGAGATTAATATTGTTTACTCATGTGCCACTAGTAGGGGAGGATGATGACCAGTCCCTCGACGAATGTAAAATCAACAGAGTTTGCACAAGGGAAAAGTGCTAAAAGAGAAGATATGCACCTGGTGTACGGCCTTTCGTTCTATGTGTTCTTTTTTTTTCTTTTCAGGACTGACACTTGCGCCATGACATCGTGTGGCAGTGTGGTGAGATATTCTACACTTGAAGGTTGCGTGATTTGCATTGCATTGTTCTCTCCCCCCCCCCCAAAAAAAAAACATTGCACAGCTTCGACTACCAATAGCGTCATGCTTTTATTACGATACAGATATCGACGAAAATGAGGCAATATATTAAAATTCCTTTTATTATATACGGTGGCCAAGTATTAAGAGATATAGAGATATATAGAAAAGCCTAGAGATTGGCCTCAATTAGTGATCTCAGCGCCAACCAAGCGCTGCGAAAGCTGGGAGGAATAGAAAAAATGATGACCATGAGGACGAAGATAACGGTAAAAAAAAGAAAAAAAAGGTGCTCTGAAGATTCTGGTTAAGACCAGTGGTGAATAAGTTCGCGCAGGAAATGAAGGAAAAAAAGTAAACCTTGAATTTCTTTAGGAAGTATCTGTACACAGATCCACAGCTTTTGAAGTGCCTTCAGCCGTGATCGAGGCTGATAATGAAGGATACATAGCCATCCACTTCAGTTGTAGCACGAAATTTCCAGGAAGTTTCAGGAGGAGGACGAGGAGTCAAGAAAGGAATGGAAGGCAGATATTTCAACTAGACGCCCGTCCGGTTGGGTACCCTGCACGGGGGGAAAGGATGAAAAAGAAAGAAATAAGAGGGAAGAATCACTGTCAGAATACGTGCGCGCCCGTCCATTTCAAGCCTACAAACGATCGCTTAACTCGATTCATTCTAAGAACATAAAGCCCAAGTCGCTTTCCTGGCTTGCGTCACATAGAGGCACAATCCAAGGGTATGCTCTTTCTTAAATGGTATGTTGCAACCTGATTTGTTCATTCAAGCACGAAGAAAGTTGCAATCGCTCACAAAGCGATCACAAAGGCATGGTAGATATTCTATCATTTCGGCACTGTAAATTGAGCCACACCTGGAGGTGACAAAAATTTGTCGTGGTCAGGGGATCAAACTCAAAACCAGCGCCATCCCTTGGTGGTCACGTGACTTTTCGAGCTTACCGGGATACCAGCAATCAAGCGCGCCAGCAATCATACACCTAGAAGCTCGTTAACGCTGAATACGCGAGCGAGTATATTTAGTGGAATCTTTGAAGGCAGAAAAGGGTTATATTGCAATTGCGTTGGGTTATGTTGCAATATCGGGCCGTCATCGCCCTTCGCGATGACAGCCCGATATTGGCAAGATCATCAAGAACGACAGCCCGACAACTCACGGATATTCGTTGTGCGAACCTTTTGCGACGGAGGCTGTTTGACTTCGACTTCGCCTCGTGTCATGGCCAGCCAGTGACTTCTCACGTTTCCGACACCAAACCGGAGCATAAAGGCCTTCTACGAAAGGCGTAGTAAACCACACAAGGCCATCACGCAGATCATCGCAGATATCGAACACCTTCCGCATATGGACCATCCATCTATATGCGATTTGAAGAAGTTTCGCCGAATTTTGATTGAGTAGCACAATGAGCTCAGAAGAATGGACAAAGATGTAGAAGATGCAGTTGGCATCGATAATTTGGAAGTTGAGATGAAGGAAGCGGATATTTACGAGCACCAGATTATTCTGGAAAGGATGAATGGAATGGAATAAAAAACTTTATTTCAGTCCTGCAGGACGCGCTTAGCGCGTAGCGGGCGTCTCCCACGTAGGGACCGACAGGGAGTACCTGGCGGCCGCTTCGTGGGCCTGCTGGACGGCCCATTGCTGGTCGGCGAGAAGTGAGCTCCTGAGGGACCTCTCCCACTTGCTTGAGGTAGAGTCGGGAGGAGTTGTTCTACACTCCCACAGCATGTGTGCGAGTGTCGCTGTGTGTCCACATGATGGGCATGTGTCGCTGGGGTATGCATCGGGATAATAAACGTGAAGCGTGGCAAGGTTTGGGTACGTGTGTGTCTGTAATAGGCGTAGGGTTAATGCCTGCGATCGGTTATGTTTCGGATGTGGGGGTGGAGAAATGCGGCGTTCCAGGTAAAAGTGCTTTGTAATTTCATTGTACGTAACTGGTGCATCCCGATTGGTATCTAACCCGGCAAGATGAGGTTGCCCCGTGGCAGTGCGGTCGGTAAATGCGCGCGCTGCATCATGGGCGATCTCGTTGAGGTTGGATAGGGCACCCGGCACCTGGGCGAGATGGGCGGGGAACCAGATGACAGTGTGGTGCTTCAGGGCACTCGGGTCCGCATTGCGCAGGATACGCAACGCCTGGTCGGAGATGACTCCGCGTTCGAAGGCTGACTCCGCGTTCGAAGGAACCCCCCGGAGAGTCAACTCCGGTGGGTCCCTGGCCCTCGAGGAGAAGAAGCTGAGTTCGCGCAGAATATGGCGGCCCGCCTTGGTGGTAGTGAGTCGGGTCAATTGGACGCGTTCCTGAGTTTCGGCGATCTCTTCTAGCGTGTTATGTACGCCAAGCTCGAGGAGTTTGTACGTTGGAGTGGTGATAGGGAGGCCAAGGGCTTGTTTGACCTTCTTGCGAATAAGCGCATTGAGTTGATCGCGCTCAGCACGTAGCCACTTGGGTATAGCGGCAACGTAGGTAAAATGGCACAAAACAAACGCGTGTACGAGACGCAGCAGGTTGTCTTCTTTGAGGCCATGGTGCCTGTTGGCTACTCTACGTACGAGTCGTATGGCATTCTCAGTCTTAGTCCTGAGCTTGTGTACTGTTTGGGTGTTGGTTCCGCGGGACTTGATGATCATGCCGAGGACCTTGATGGTGTCTACCCTGGGTACAGTACGACCATCTCTGGTGTGGAGGGTGATATTGCGTTCCGCCGGAGGTTTCCACCCTTTGGGCTTGGCACCCCGGCGTTTGGGCAAATATATCAACAGCTCCGACTTCGCAGGTGAGCACCTGAGACCGGTGTGGTCGAGGTAAGACTCGGTGGTGTCGATAGCTTCTTGCAGTGCGGACTCAATGAAGCCATCCGACCCTGTGGAGCACCTTATGGTTACATCATCCGTATAGATAGTGTGATTTAGCCCGTATATTTTTGAAAGTCGTTCGGAAAGCCCGATCATCACGAGGTTGAAGAGTGTGGGCGAGAGGATGGATCCCTGAGGAGTGCCCCGCTGTCCGAGCTCTACTTTTTCCGACACGAGGTCTCTTACGCGGAGGACGGCTCTGCGTCGAGTGAGAAAAGAGCGGATAAAGTAGTAAAATCGATGACCTAGGCCGAGGGCTGCGATCGCTTTCAAGATTGACGAGTGCGTTATTGTATCAAAGGCCTTTTCTAAATCGAGACCGAGTATTGCGCGAGTGTGCCGAGTGTTTCCGCCATCTAGAATTTGATGCTTTAGGAGTGACATGGCGTCTTGAGTGGATAACCCTGGTCGGAAGCCAATCATGTGGTGCGGGATGCAGTCGTTATCTTCGAGGTATCGACCAACCCTGTTGAGGACGACGTGCTCAGCCACTTTGCCCATGCACAACGTGAGAGATATGGGGCGTAGGTTATCTAGGCTCGGCGCCTTTCCTGGTTTGGGTATGAGAACCGTGTGAGCTAGTTTCCAAGCATCGGGTATTTCATCCTTTTTCCATATCTCGTTGATAGTGTCAGTGAGGTAAGTGATGGAGGAATCGTCCAGGTTGCGTAGGAGCTTGTTGGTGATGCCATCTGGACCAGGGGCTGAGCGGCCATTGAGCTCATGGAGAGCTCGGCACACATCTTCAATAGAGAAGTCGGCGTCTAAGTTAGTGTTGTAGCTGCCAGAGTAATCAGGGTGAGGGGTCACAGGGCCCGTGGGTAGCGTGGAAAGGATCTGAGCAGAAAATTAGATTGCGGACATATTATGTGCTCGGCAAGCTCGCTTGGAGGCCATGAGGCAAAGTATTTGGGCAGAAGTACAAGTTAACGTACACTGTTCGTCTGTGGTGCCACCATCTAGCCTCTGCTTCTTCAGTAGCAATCTTGTTTTACGGAAGCTAGACGACTCAGACTCACGACGAATTGCTGAACTTGCTCGAAGCCAAAAAGCTGCCTATTTTTCTACCGTAAGAAGCATCCAAGCATGCACAGAACCGTTACTTTGAAAGAACTGGCCCATCTCTTTATAACTCCCGTCAGCGTGCACTATGACTGAAGCAAAAGACACAGCAGTTACAACTCCAGTGCACATGGTGGAGGAACAAAGTTCCATAAATAAAACAATTCTTCGAAGATATAACGGGCCATTCATAGAATATTAAGAATGAGTGCAAGCCAAAGCAAACAGATTCAGATGTTGTACAGTCCTTGAGCCATGCGTAGAAATGTCTGACAGAAGCAAATCAAGACGAATTCAAGCGAAAAGAAGCAAGAGAAAAACTGCGAGGGCACAGGAGCCTGCAGCCTGTATAAGTCCTCAGAGCTCTACGATGAAGCTACAAACACCAATGAGGAGAAGAAGGCGGACCATACAAGTTACCTGACTGCCGATTAAGTATATTGAGACAGGGGCACAGCGGCAAATGAAGCAATAAAGTCTGGGATGGAGGCAGAAGGATGATGCTTTCAAGGTGAACACCGCCAAGGCAAGAAATTCAAAAGGAAAACTTATCAAAATGAGCTACACCAGAACTTCGCAGAAGAAACCATGTTTCTGCCAATGAAACCTGATCATTGAGAGCGCAAGCTCACCGAAGGCGACGCGTTCGAAGGCACGGATATGGAACAAGTGTCGGAAGCACCGTTGAAAAACCAGACGCAAGAGAAAACCCGGATTGTTTCATGTGGATTGACTTGGACCTCAAACTATTAGTGACGAACATTGTATGTTAAGTGCTTACAGCAACTGTGATATTGTTCATCATGAGGCCACACAGTGGGGGCGTGGAGGATGTTGCAAATCGCGTAGAGGACGAGGAGCGACATTATCCTCATCGGGGTTCAGAGAGTGTATTTGAAAGAAAGAAGAGGTTGACGGTTGGCTTCGCCGTGGGGACGGCGGCTCGTTCTTTCCTCATCATTTTGTTCACTATTATTTTTAATATGCGAAGAAAAAATTATTCTTTTCATTTTTTTTTAAATTTTGGAAAAAAATGTGAAAGACTGTTTTTGTCTGATTTCTCAAACTTTCGGAAATATTGCATACCTAAGACGAATGTGATCCAACACATCAAAATTTGTCATACATCCGCATGTATACCTCAAATGTGGGAGGGAATCACTACACAATTCTCTCAAAAGGAAAGCTTTCCAGCTCGAAGATGCAGACATGGACAAAAGTTTCACCAGATGAGAGGCTCTTCTTTACGAGAAATTTATGCGAATTTCTTTGCGGAATTGTAGAATAGGCGAGTGTGTGGCACATTTCAATCTGCGTTGAAAAGCATTGCTCCACGTTCCAAGATTTTACAAAACTGGTTTATTAGGGGCATGAGTACCGAGTGGCACTCTTGCCCAGTTACCAGAGAACGCACGAACGTGGTCTGAAAACTGGACAAGAGTGCCTGCCACTCAAGCGCCGTTGCGAGTTTTCAAAAAAAAAACATAATAAATATGGGAAAAAACTACGTAAAAGTTGCGGAATGAGTTAAAATAAGGGTTTCAAATAATAATGAGGAGATTAAGCTTCGTGCTAAACCTAATTTATATGATATAATTTGCTGATATTAGTGTAAACAGTGATTCGTATAACCTCTTCATAAAGCTGTATATAACTGATGACTGTGATTCAAAGGAAGAAGCCATAAATGTCTCGTCAACGTGGAAAAATGCCTGTCGGCATCAACACGATGATAAAAGTCATGTGATCAAAAAGTAACACTCGATGATATCGTCATGGTGCCATAGGTGGCCGAAATATGCCGTATTATGAGGTTATCATGACGTTGATGTGGCATCACAAAAAGTTAAGTAGATTTGATAGATTAATATACGGCGTTTAACGTCCCAAAACCACCTTATGATTATGAGAGACGCCTTAGGGGAGGACTCCGGAATTTCGTCTACCCTGGGGTTCTTTAACGTGCACCGAAATCTGAGCACACGGGCCCACAACATTACCGCCTCCATCAGAAATGCAGCCGCCGCAGACGGGATTCGATCCCACGACCTGCAGGTCAGCAGCCGAGTACCTTAGCCACTGGACTACCGCGGCGGGGCCGAAAAGTTAATTAACGTGAAGGCGTCCACACGGGAAATCACCGCACTGTAAGGGTTGGCCGATCTTGGAGCTAGTGAAATACAACGTGACGTGCAGTAAGATTGCAATGCTGCCGATCTTGGAGGCTGTGCGAAAACCCGTTACGTGCAGAATGCCTTCGGAAGGACGAGGGCAAGATCAATACATTGATTTCGCGTTTACCAAAGCAGGTCAGTGCAAGTGCCATCGACCGACACCTACATATTGCATTAGGGTCGCTTTGCATTTCGTTTAAATTTAGAAAAGAGAGAAGCGTACGTGCGATGACATATAAAATAACAGACAATAATGCAAAGTCTAGACCCTTTCACTGTTTGGAAACACAGGCCCTTGATGACATCCGGTTTCGTGTCAGTGCCGTAATAGCACTGGTGGGCAAGAAGAGCTTTAGAAAATAACCCGCTGATTTACTACAGTTTCCTTCTCTTATTAGGAAAATATATTCAAGTTATTGTTTTTTTGAGGTACATAAAAGTTAAACAAATTTTCTTAAACTTTACGCACGTTCATTTTTTTTCTGAAAAACTAAAGAGCGACTTTCTTTACCCTTGAAAAAAAAACTTGAAAACGTGCTTTCAGTTATGATGTTAGGAGCTGATAAATGAGGTGACCGGAAGTTTTTTGGGTACAACGCTTGTAATCTTGAAACCATCTATATGGGATGGCATTTGCAGTCAAGGCAATGTAAATGCGAAAAAAAAGTGGATGACAAGACAGCTTGCCGCGAGCAGCCACTGAACCTGCGACTTTCCATTAACACGTCCGATGCTCTGCCAACTGAGTTACCATGACTGCTATCTCCTCCCGTCTACTTTATAGGGCATATATGTGCATTTAAACGCGAGAGCGTCCGTCAACGTTGCCTGTTGTCATTGAGGCGAGTGTGGAATACTCTTTTTCTGCCTGTTGGCGTCACGAAGCACGTTATGTTATTACGAGGTTGCAGCTTACCAATAATCCCTTGCACCTTGTCTCTGGTCACACGTAAGGAAGAGAAGAAAAGACGAGAGAGAAAAAAAGCAAAAGAAATCGATGACCGTTCCTAGTCTCATTTCCTAGGTGGCGTTACTCTGCCGCTACTCTCCTATTGGCTGCTGCGTGCGCTTTGCCTGAGTGTGCGAAGAACGAGTGCCTCTCTAAGTCTCCTGGATAGCCACAGTACGTGGCGGATCGTTGGTGAAGCATGGAGAAAGCAGAGTGGCAGCGGCGTTGAAGACGCTTGCGCTCGGCTTTTATGGTCCGCGTCTCGACAGTGTTACCCGCGCGCCATCTGCATTCTGGAACGCTATCGTACGCATGCTCGAACGGACGGACGCACACACGGGTGGACGAACGGACGCTTTGCCCCACTCATAATCATGCACTCCGTGGATATGCTGTGCTTTTTTGCCTTTTCTTTCATTCATTTATAAAGTGGGTCTCGTTCTGGCGGGCTTTATACTTTCAGGTAGTATGTGAGAGATTATTGATCAGCTGTCAGTTTGTATAGGATTATGCCAGCTACAAGTTTGTATAAGACGTGACGCCACAGGCAGAAAAAGACTGTTCCCCAGTCGCCGTCAAGGCTACTAGCAGCGCTAACCGACGCTTCAACGCTTCACATATATACTTCATAAAGTGGACGGGGAAATGACCACCATAGTAGACCAGCTGGTGGAGTGTCGGATGCATTATTCGAAGGTCGCAGGCCTGGTCTCTTCGTGCGGCAATTTGCTTTTTCTTCCAGTTTTATTTCTTCGTATTTAGATTCGATTTACTACAAATGCCATCCGCTATACTTTTTATTCGCAATATTGTTTGTGATAGTTCTCATTATTATTGTGTACAAAAAGAAACATGAGCCCTTGAAATTTCCACTTGTTTTATCGGCATAAAAATTTTAGCGTATGCATATTGCCATGAATTGTTAAGTTACAGCTTTTCACCCCGGTGGCGCAATGAGGACAGCTACAGGCAATAACCCAAAGGCCCAGAACATATTGCTTTTGTCGTTCTGTGTCGTGCGGAGTTTTCATTTTTCTTGAGTGTCATGCTTTCCGCTTTTCCCCCAGTGTCGTACTTCTCAGGCTGGAGTGGTGACCAGCTGTCCTAGGGGCTGCAAGTGTGTTATGGAGGCCGAAAGCAGCTTCGGAGGTGGCATAGGGAGATGTCAGCGGACTTTCAGCTGACAGGGGCGAGACCCCTATACATTTGTCTTTGTCGACAAATAAACGAAGGATGAAGAAAAATGATGAAGAAACATAATTTGCATGATACCCTCCTGCTTGAGTATCGTGTGTGTTCCACCATTAATGCGCTCTTTTTTAGGGCTTGGTCATTTTAATAGAACCCGACCATAATTAGCGCCGGCAATAAACATGCTTTCAGCCCTCTTGATATGCTCAGGAAGCTTTCAGAAAAATAGAATATTGAGAGAGTTCGTTGAAATACTCCCTTTTAAAACTATATGTCAACAAACACAGCACTAAGAAAAAAAATGCCCTCACCTCCCCGAAGGAAATTGTGAGGAAAGGCGAATGCATTTCTGGCACCGAGAGGGGGTACCGTTGTCGTCAATCATTCGCCTTCACCGACTTCTGCCATCGCCTTGTGAGGCGCCCAGCCGGAGAACGGTCGAGAGTGAGGTGCGATCCGACAGAAAAGTGGTGCGCAGGGAGGAGACAGAGCGAATGGCGAGAGAAAGAGCGGCAAAGCACTACCCCCACTCCCTCCTACACTCTATCGCACCACATGGTCTGGTTGCTAGGGGCGATGATAAGCGCGCGGGCCCGCAGCTGCTGTTATGGGAGAGGAAGTGAAAGTGAAGAGAACACCTGGCGGCGCGCGGACAACGCGGGAAGCCTGACATAGCCCGACTAAGAAATGCATATACAATTAAAAAGAAAGCTGAAAAGTATTTACTATAGGCCATTAGTCATTACTCCCATGCCAGCGCATGTCAGCGAACATGCTATTCTGAATAAAGGGATTCCAGAATGTTCGACGACGTCAAAATTATTTTATATTCGATTGTGCACAAAACATTTTACAACCAGCGTACGTTTTCATACCCTGCATAAAGCACAATAATCGTGACAAAAAAAAGTGGTCCCCCAGGAGCTCACTCATCGCCTACCAGCAATGGGCCGTCCAGCAGGCCCACGAAGCGGCCGCCAGGTACTCCCTGTCTGTCCCTACGCGGGAGACGCCCACTACGCAACGCATCCTGCAGAACTAAAATGATCTTTTTTTCATTCTATTCTATACCTTTCAAGGCTTGTTTCGCAGAAATTCTGGCGTTTGCATGTGCGCCACTCGTTGTGCGTGAAAAATCGTCATTTAGTTCGTGACCGAAAACCGGGAAATGTGCAAATACTATCATGCTAGATGCTATATACTGCCACTTGGCACATGATATGCAGTGGCATCCCTTGAGTCAGTGTTTTGAAGGATAAAGCGATTATTTATTTTTCTTCCAAACTGTATTTGAATGAATCGGCTCTGTCTCATAACTTTCAATAACCGCGGTTTCAGGAACCCTGTGAAACGACAGGAGATAATAAACTCTTGCTGAGGGTATACACGCTCGCTCTTTTTGCAAGAAACTTTCGAGCGCGAGTGAACGTCATGACCTTCCGTACTAAGTTCTCGGTGGAGGCATTCTTCTACCTAACGCTTGCAAAGTCCCGTGGTAAGTGGTCGCGTTTTTCCATCCGAGCTTCAGGCGGGGGCACATTGCCTCTTCAACGCAGAACCTCGTTTTATCACGGTAAACATGTGCTTGAACGACCAGAGACTTTGATTCGCCAACTTTTGCGCTCCCGTGACTCGGTCTCTTGTCAATGAGTTTTGTAAGTGGACCAGACCAATTTCGCTAGACTCAGCACCGTGCGTCTTGTGAGGAGATGACAACTCCGTTTTCGATTCAGTTAGTTATGCTCAGGGCTGTAGTCAAGGGCAAAGCACGTTCCATTAAAAGAAGCTGCGGATAATATATAAAAAGTTGCAGTTTGTCGATGCATGGGTAGCGCTTCACGAAAACGTTTTTGCAGCTGTTTGTTCAGGCTGCGCCTCAGAGCATGATTGACACAATCTATTTCCCTAACGAACTCGTTGCAAGTCTAGAGGCATGCGATGCCATTCCTTCGGCACCTAGGCAATGCAGGCTCAGCCAACACAATGGGGTGCAGTTCACCTTGAAGGCCAAGCTTGGACGGCGTGGCTCCAAGTTGTGGCGAATGAAACCATCAGTTTTAAATGATTAAGTTTCGGCATCGCAAATACGCATGGAAATCTATGTGTCTGAGAAATGCGCAGCAAATACCGCCAACGACGGAGGACAGCTTGAAGGCCCGATGCCATGTGGTTCCACAGAATAAGTCAGGAAAAGCGCACCGCTCATGTCTAACATTATAGCTGGATGAAACATTGAGGCTCATTCAAATCCCAATGAAAGTGTATTTTGGGGAAAGAAGAGCTAAATACGACCTATTGTTGAAGGCAAGTCCGGAGCTTTCAAGCCCGCGGATCTTTCAAGCCGCTTTCAAGCCCGGACATTTCAAGCTCGCTCGTCCGAAGGCAGGCAACTGCGCCTGCCTTCAGACGAACCAGAAAACTTGGCATGGGCACAGAGAATAAACATAGTCACACACATGATGAGTATCCCTTCAAGAACAATGTTTTTGGCCACTCTTTTTTTCCGCGAGCCATACGCGCTAATGACCTGCACCCCACCGTGTTGACACAGCTGACAGTTGACGAATTTGTTAATCGAGCGAGTGAATGTGTGCTGTCTTTTATTTAGCCGTGATTTCGTGAATCGATGATGTCGCAAGTTTTAACTCTGTCTGTACAATTTCGTTTCGTATTTGTTTTTTGCTTGCCCCAGCATTTCATCTAATGTTTTTATTCATAAAGACTCTTTGCCTATCACTACGGCGAACTTCGCACTATGTTTGAGATATTCGCTTCAAATTTCAAGTGCTTGCAACATGTATTTTTAGTCTGTGTATTGCTTGTTTTAACTATGTACAATGTGACACCACTCCTGTAATAATCCCATCACGGGATTGACAGCATTCTGAATAAATAAATAAATAAAAATAAAAATAAGAATTGAGGACATCTAGACGTGTGACCATTTCTGGGTGACAAGAACGGTCATAATTGAAAGGAAAATAGGCAAGAAGAATATTATCTCTTGAAAAAAGAAGCTAGATATCAAAAACGACTCCTATATTATACTGGAGGGCGCCGACGCATGCAGACCTGGCCACATCTGGCTCTACTTATTCGTGCTCAAGAGCCAGGATTTTATGACCATCGGCACAAAATCGCACAAGAATCGCAACAGGCAAGTCACCATCTTTCATCTGGCACCAACATTTTTTGCGCTGGACTCCTTTTTGAACGAGAAACGAATGTTTGAAAACCGTAAGCGGTGGTCCCAACATTAAGCCTAGACGCGCCCCCGCTGCAGCGGACGCGCCAGCCGCGTTGGTGCCCGGCGCGCTCTGCGACGCGCCCTGCAATGCGCCTCGCGACGCAGCGAACTGGGCAGGGGCCCGATTCGCGGAGACGACCACCATTGATTCTGACTCACCAGACCAACTGGACTGCATGGATGTTGACGACTTCGAACCCATGGACAATATCGGGCCCATCGACTCCACCCCCGATCCGAGCGGTGTTGCCGAAGCGTCCAACAATACATACCTGCGGCCATCCGTACCTCACACTCTATGGTTTCGGGTGATCGACGCTCGCCGAAAGAAGGTTGTTGCCGAGGAGGCCTCTCCGCGACGCGAGACCGCCAGGAGGCGCCAAGCTGTGAAGACATGTTCACACTGCGCTCCGCTTTATCGAAGCTTTTCTAAGAGCAATTTCGCGCAAACTCATATAACAATCTGCGTTGTGAAGTTCTCCTGATTCCACGGATACCCAAAGCTTGGGCCAGGATCAACTTTACGAGAAGAAACCATCGCAGGCAGATTGGATAACCTTGTGGAGACGCTCACCTTAACGACCACGGCCGGCGTCGCGCGTCCCGGAAGGCACTCCGACGTGCGGAACACGACGGTGTTGTGTGTTTGTGGGAGCACGGACTAGCAGATAGTGAACTTTGGACACTTGCTTTGCTGCCATGGGACAAAGATTGAATGTGAGCGATGTTTACCTCACTTTCTTGCCCTGTTTTGTGACACGACAAAATGCCGGCGGGAAAACTCTGTCAGCCTAAGCGCTCCGACTAACTTGGCAGGAGCGGCGGTCACTTTTCCTTTGTTCTGCCAAGCATGGCTGGCCGGGGCTGATCGCCTTTTCTCGCCATATGGAAGTTGACGAAGCTTATCCCGGCCCTTCTCGGGAACCGGAATCACTCACTGCTGACACGGACGCGAGTGGCGTCTCGTCTCGGCAGACAAAGGATGACGAACCAGCGTCTGTTGACGCGACTCTCGGAAACGAGACTGGCGACGCGACTTGTTCGGAACGCCATGGATGGACTGAGGATGCCTGGAATACCGTTTTATGGCGCAGGCAAAAGAAAAACCAGTTAAAAAAGCAGAAATTCCAGATGGAGAAGGCTGTAAAAGCGAACGAAAAATTTGAAAGCGATTCGCCCGCCGAAAAACAAAAACGTGAAGCCACGCAGGGTTTCAGACGAAGAAATCGACGCGGCCCACCTCCACTACCGAAAAAGAACATCAAGATTATTCTGAGGCCGCATAAGGGTCTCTGGGTTAAAAACATATTGGGACTGGAACTCTCCAGGACTGTGATAGATGCCTGCCAACGAAGTTTCAATGGCAATGACTTTCTGTTGCGGGTTCACCCAGGATCGAACATTGTAATCCTATCTACGCCAAGCATGAAGGTAGCGAGTAGGCTGCGAGGTATCAGTCAACTAAAGATCAGGGGACAAATGCACGCTTTCAATGCATACGTGGTCGACCCAGAAGGCGTATTGCGGGGAATTGTACATGAAATACCGGCCGGGACTTCGCAAGATGAACTAATGGAGAACCTACGTGTTCGGACTCAAGAGGTGAATATTGAGAGAGCAAGAATGTTGGGCTCGTCTAAAACGGCGATTATGACATTAACGGGCAATGTGCTACCGAGGAGCGTATACATAATGGGTGCCGAGTTAATATGCTACCCATACAAGCCAACAGTACAGGTGTGCAAAATATGCCTTCAAACCGGACACCGTACGGACGTCTGTACAACTCCAAATGTCAAGGTATGCCTCAAGTGCGGGGCAAGGGAACCAATGCAAGGACAC